AAGAATTTACATGATATATAATAGACTTGTCCCACCCAATATCAATGTAAAGGACACATTCACACACACAAGTGTAAAAGCTCTGGACTGATAATATAATATTATCACGATCAAGCAATACCCAATTTACATTGAAGACCTTCCTAAAGGAGAATATATGTGTGCAAATTTTCTAATTAACAAAATTTAATTCAAATAAATTATACATATATATCATAGCGAATCAATGATAAATGAATGAAATATTTGATAAACAGCAGTGCCGGCGTCCAAAGTCCGAAAGTTCCGCCGATTGAGTTCGTAAACCTCGTTAAAACGTATACCTAGGAACGCTTAGGCTTTGAGAAACTTGTACGTGTTTGAGAGCCCCTACTCCATACTAGGGATATAACGGATTATTCCCCTCGGTGCATAGAGTATAGTCGACTATGCCACTTTGCTCGGACCACCGTCCCTCGATTTTCGCACAATCCCCGCCAACCCATTCCGACATCGATGAGCGTCAATCCCAAATCGGGGCGCGATCAAAAATATTTATCAAACGGCTTCTTGTCGACGTGCCGTTAATCCGCGCGCGTTTTATCGCGGCTCGATTAACCGCATGTCGGCGAGTGTTTATTAAAAAAATCAACCGACGCGAGATTAAACGAAATGCGCGATATGTAGTCCTTAATTTCCTAAATTTATTTCTCTCCGCGTGTTACACCGTTTGTTAAATTCGTGTAAATTGAGAGCGAAACACCAATTAACTTTGTAGAAAGTTATGGGTAAAAAATTGTGTAAATCAAACTCGAGAATTAATTATTACTTACGTCGATAAATGTCAAGAGCCGATAAAGTCGAGAGAAAATAAACGTTTGGTAATTAAGCGTTGAAAAAAAAATATTGAGAAAATTCGAGAACCGACTGTAGAGTCGCGTTCGAAGTGACATTTGAAAATTTCTATGAAAATTGCGAGGTTGGAAAACAGTACGTTGCGAGAACAGAAGATTACATATACCGCTTGTTTGCACGTGAATATATACGTTCGTTAAATATTACTTCCCGCGGACGATCGCGCGCAGTGATCATTAATAATATCGCGGGCAAATCATAGCGTGCAAAAATAATGACACCGCTATTACAATGGAGAGTACTCGTATCGATGTCACTCGCCCGAATCAGACGGTGAATAAATAGATGATACGCGTTAACCGACCGTGTATCGACGTGTCGGACTTTCCAAACAACTTCGACAAAGCGACTGCCATGAACTCGTGATTGGCGACAAGAGATGCCGAGTGAAAATATATACCCGCTGCAGCAGCAATCGTCGCGCACAAAGAGAAAATAGTTCATGCCAATCTCGATCTTCGTTGAACTTTGCACTTTCAGCGCGCAAAACTCGCGGACATTAAAATACCGCGTCCATTATATAACGGCAAACAGTATGTATTGCAATTTATGTAAAATCGATTTGTAAAATTTGCATCTCGCGGCTCTCATGTCGAGAAATTACAACCTGCAAAGTGCATAACCTGCACATGTGAATTAATGCGAACGTAAAAAAAAAAAGAGGAGCGTTAAAGAAACTCATTAGCATTTACTGGACTATAAAACGAACTATAAAAGTGATTGGAAAAAAAAAATGTCCTTTATGCGGCATGATAACATAATTTAGCAAAATCTATGTTGCTCGCGCCTCTGATAGAGAAACAGCTATTTCGCTGCGCGTACGATCAAATAAGATTGAAAAATCGTGATTTATTCGCGGGTATGTGCAATTTCGCTACGATGCGAATAAATTCTTTTTTTCCACGGCGTTACGCGTAACGGGGATCTCTCTTTGGAGCGCACAAAAATGCCATTAACGTTTAACAGGGACGTTTAACAGTTAACGCGCCGTATACACTCGAGAGTGTACACATCGGTTTTCCACTGCGGGCGCGCGCTTCCCAATTTTGTTGTCAAGCCAAGCCGGAGTCGAGCCGCGGGCGCATCCGTGACACGTACGCGAGTTGATTGACGCGCGAATACGTGTCCGGCGTTACATGGCTTGCGAACAAGGTTGCGAACGAGCACGTACGAGCGCGACGAACGACGACGACGACGACGACGACGCTCCGATGTGTGCCAAGGCGAGAGATACACCGAGGATCGTTGGAAAAAGTGCGGATTTCACGACTCGCAACAGTGTACGGTGTCTTGTGTGCACACAACGCGATATATATTCCAGCCATACTCCGAGGACGCGAAGTATATGGAGTCACGATTTTTCGGGACAATGTAACACAATGGTGGTTCATCAATTTTTAAGATTAATTTTTTTTTCACCGCGATATCAACAACGCCATTTAAGAATGATTGCTTCAATTATTTACCTGTTACCCTTGGCTAATTGCGTGCAAAATTTGAAAGGTCTACGATCAGCTGATTGAGAATAGTAGTGTTTTATTAAGCTTGTTTTTTAAGTACGATATAAATATAAAAAAAACGTATCGCAATAAAATTGTATTTTTTAACCGACTTATCTTTCACACAATGCTCGAGATGGTGCAAAAAATTTATGGAAATAAAGCATGAAATCGAGCAAACATTTTTGGTCGGCATGTCGGGTCTCGTGAAGGGAAAGACTGTGTAGAAAATGACGAATACGATACTTCTACCACAACTTGAAGTAGATGACATCATCGCACAGCTCGTAAAACAAGATCGACGAATTATACAGTTCGTATGATAAAAAAACCATTATAGATATTTAAAGTCATATTTTCCGTATTTGAAATATAGATAAAAAACTGCGTGCAATTTTATTTCTACAAAATATTTCCCCTCGTGAAATCTAGCATGAAAAATGTTCGTTCAATTTAATGTGTTATTCTCATAAGCTTTTTGCATCATTTCGAGCATGAAAGATAAATCAGTTTTAAAATAATATTTTATTGCACTATGTATCTTATTTTTAAATTAATGACATACTTAAAAAACAAGGTTCACAAAATACTATACCGTTCGAGATTAGGAAATCATAAACTTTGTAAATTTTGCATACATTTAGATAAAAAAACAGGTACAAAGTTTAGGCAGCCATTCTTAATTAATATCGCCGTAAAAAAATCAAATCTAAAATGTATAAACCGCATTATTGTGCAAATTATTACAATATGTATATTTCGATTTTAATATTTCTTTCATTCAATTCTTAAAATTGCAAATAAAATTCTAGATAGGTACTAAAATTATCTGAATTTCTAAAAAAAAGTATAAAATTGCATTATTTGTTCGCGGTATTTACAATGCGACACTCGCGCGACGATAAGCGCACGGCGGTCAAGTTCGAGCGAATGGAAAAGGATTCCTCGTGCATTCGACAAGAAAACTCACCCCGTTCGTCATGTTCGGCCAATCGTAAAATGCGATAACGTTATGGATCTTTTCGAGAGGAAATAATGCACAATTTTCGACGGATCAAGGAAACGAAACGCGAGCGCGCGCGTACGTACGCGTGCATGAGACGAGATTTATTTATGGCGCTTCGCCGTATCTCTCAAACGATATTTTTCGCTCCGCGTTTATTTTCAGATGTACATATATGCATGCATGCAACTTGCGCGCGCGAGCTTGCAACGGAAAACCAAAGCTCCCGTATTTTACAATAATGCTTCCGTCCCGCCGCGTACGAGAAGCGGATTTATTTATTCAAGTGTCACGGCGATAGTGTCGTTCCGCGATATAGAATAAAAGAGGAGCAAATATATGAAACATGTCAAGATGACATTCGATTCTTCAGAATTTCCTATTTGGACGAAAATAAAAACTATATAGCATCTTCATCGTTCCAAGATTCTATTTAACTTGCCAATCGACCAAATGAAAAGTTTACTCTCTCTCTCTCTCTTAAGTAATTTAAACTTGAATTATCAACTTGCGTCCTAGATACTTTTTGCTAATTAAAGGGAAAGGTATAATGTTTTCATCTCTTTCATACACATCGTACTTCGAAAAAGAACACTGGCATAAAAATATATCACTCGTTTAAAATTATATTTAAGCTTTCGAATAAAATTTGTGTAATTGATTGTCTACTATATTTTAATGCATCGAGTTATTACTGCAATAACTTTTTTAATTTTAATAACAAACTTTTCCCTTTCTATTGTATATGATCTAGAGTTTTTAGGTGAAATTTTTTTCGTCGGACGCAGCGAAATGGAACGCAGCATTGATGCGTGCACGTGCGTGGTGTATCGCGCGCGCCATCATTTCGTTGCGGTCTGCTCGCGTTTCATGCATATGGACTTATGTAATTGATTCGGTGCCGACTCTCATCTCACCGCGAATGAGTTAGGTGCGTACGAGCGTTTCGCGTCGCTGCCGACGAAGATACCGATCGGAGGAGGGTTTCTACTCGAACTCTACTGGCGACTAACGAGCTGCCGGAAACACGTATTACATATATACATCTTCCGGCCGGAATGACTCGAGAGAGAGAGAGAAAGGAAGTTCTCCTGTTTATATCTTGTTAACGTGTTTTTCGTTCTTACACGGCAATTTCGCGCGAGCAAAAAAAGCCCACAAATTTAATTCAGTTTGTCTCTCACAAACAAGAGTCTGCGGAGAACAATATTATATCTGCCACATCTTTTCGTCTTTCAAAATCGCAGTGATTTTGACAGATACTTTGTCAATGGTGAGAAACGCAAAATAATGAATAGTAGCGCCATTGACTTTGATCGATCGTGTTACACAGAATATTTCCGAGTTAGCGGAAAGTGAATATATTTTCTTGCGAAATTTGGAGATAAAAATATTAAGCCATTAGTTTCTTGGCCGTGAACCAACTGAGAGACGAGAGAGAAGAAAGTCTCGAAAATTAAACTTTGCGAGTGAATATCACTCGTTCGATTCAAGATAGATTTACTTGAATGAAATTTCAAAGCTTTGTAATTAAAATAATCGAATATTAAAATAATTGTAAATTTCGCCGAAAACACATCCACGAAAATGCAAGAAAAACTCACCTTCGGTTCCGTCTTCATCTTCTTGGCGGGTGGAGGGCTGGCGGCCGTGTCCATGGCCTCCTCGGCGGGCGTCGTCAGCGGAGGACCCGGCACCGCGGCTACTTTGGTCTGTTCCGGCTTGGCCGCAGCGCCGGTCGCCGTGGCACTCGCCGGACTCGGCGGCGGACAGGGCGCTGCCGCGCTGGTCGCGGGCGGCCCGGGACCCTGCGACACGGAGAACCCTGTCCTCGAGCTGGGCGGTGGTCCCTGGGTCTGTTGCGGCGCCGTGGCGGCCGGCGTGGGACCCTGAGACTGAGTCGCGCCGCCCGCGGAATTTTGGCCCTGCGGCGTAGGTCGCGCGGTTCCGTTCATCTCAGGCTTGATCTGCTGAGCCGTGTGATTGCTCTGCGGCTTCTCGTGCTTGTCTCGCGCTTTGTCGCGCCGATGACCGCTGGAGCCGCGCTTGGAACCGGCGGTAGACGAGGGTGCGGCACCGCCGGTGCCGCCGGCGGAAGCCGGGGAGTGACTCGGCTTCGACTTGTTCGACGAGGACGACTGACCGCCGCCGCCGGTCGCGCCGCACTCCGAGTTCTGCGAGTTCTGTGCGACCGCGGCCGACGCGGAGGCCGAGCCGGCGGTCGAGGACGAGGAGGTCGATGAGGCGGCGGTGCCGTTGTTCGAATCCTGGGACGAGGCTGTGCCATTGATCTCGTTCGATTTGACGATTTCATGCTTGGCCTCGCTCGTCTTGGTACCGGGCTTGGTGCGTTTGATCTTCATCTTGAGGCCCTTATCGACGGTGGCCGAATGTTCAACGGCCATCTTGCCGGGATTACCGGCGTTACCGTGGACGGCGTTGACGCCGCTCACGTTCACGCCCGACGCTTGCTTATTACCGGGGCCGGTGACCACGGAAGACGCGGTGCCGTTCGCGTTGCCGGTGCCGTTCGCGTTACCGGCGCCGTTCGCGCCGCCGTTGCCGCTTCCGGGACTGTTGGATCGCGTCGACGAGTTGACGCCGCACGAAGAGGACGTTGACGACGACGAGGACGATGAGGAGGAGGACGACGACAACGACGATGACGAAGTGGACGACGATTGGTTACTGGCGTTCGTGCCAGCCGACGGGACGGACGAGGACGTAGAGGAGTTGAGACCCGTTGAGTTCTGTAACTGATGATGATTCGCGTTATTCGGTGCCGATGCTGCCGAGGCAGGCGTAGAAGCCATGCCTGTCCCCGAGCTCAATTTCTCGTCCCTCGTCTTCTCAATGTCCGCATCAAGATCGATTATCAGGTCACCTATGCCGATGTCCCATTCGTTGTCGTCGTACTCAAAGTTATTGGTCGCATTCGTCGCGGCCGGATCCAGCTCACCGGCGTTAGCAGCCACTGTGCTTGCTTTATTAGGCTCGCGCTGCTGACCCGACGATGACGACAAGGATGACGACGACAATGACGAGGACGACGATGACTTGTCTCGGCCCTGATGATGGTGGTGATGATGGTGATGATGATGGTGATGATGATGGTGACGATGATCACGGTGTTCCCTGCCGATCAGCGCTCTCTCCTGTCTCCTCGACTGACCACCGACGTTGCTGCTGCTACTGTTCCCTAAGCCGTTGTTGTTGTTGTTGTTATTATTGTTGCTACCGTTACTGGGGTTGCCGTTACCGCCACCGCTACTATTACTACTACTGCTACTACTACTAGCACCACCACCACCGACGCACGGAGATGGTCCTTTGCGGTTTACGTTAGGGAGGCGACCGCCTAGTGGCGTGGTCGCCATGCCCTTGGAAACGTTTCCCCGGCGCCCGCCAGCCTGGTCACCGACTGCTCGCCTTTTCTCACGTTGGATCCCAAGTAGCAATGGTAGCGTGCGCGATTACACGCGTTATCATTACCCCGACCACCGCCCGCGAGACGCGCCTCGTCCATCGAACACATCACTCACTCTCTCGCGGCTACTCTAACTCAACGTAATTTCGCGATATATCCCGGCTGAATCTCTCCCTCTTATCGTGTGTGCGTGTATGTGCGCGTACACCTTCGAGCTCTTTTCACCGCGCACTTGATTTTGTCGTTAATTCTTTCAGAGCAACCCGCGTTGTACCTCTCTCTCTCTCTCACCACTCTTCACCGACAACACCACTGAATTTCCCGAGACACAACACTACGATCACAGCCACTACTATCCCTCCACCTCGACGTGATCACGGACACACCACTCGACACCATTCGTGATTACTTTCAACGTTGTAGGGAATCTTGGCGATCATCCGCACATTCCTGATATTCCGTTTTCCACCTGTCTTCCGCTTGTCGCGAGTTAAACCATGTCGGGGATACTCCCGAACGGCGTCAGCCTAACGTGCGGTTCTTCCCTTCGATTTCCCGACGGAACCGCGTTAAGGCTGAACGACCTGCTTGCGATCTGTAACATAGAAATAAAATTCCTTTCATGTCGTAAAATGTACCTATAAACGCGATCGCGCGCTCAACCCAGATTGATTCGATTTGAAATAGTCTTTCCGTAAATACTCCATCATTCATCTAATTTAAACTAATTTATTAAATTGTACACATTTTCTATTTATTCTATTTAGTCGGACTTGCAAGTGTTGAACATGTTGCAGATTTGGATACTATATAGTAATAAAGTAGGTACCATAAGATTATAAAATTATAATGTTGCTATATGTTGTTTTAGATTTCTATATTTTATATGTTGTGATGTCATGTTAATGTGATTGGAATTATATAATTTTTAATTTTAATTCTATTTTATTTTATTCTATTTAATTAAATTTTATTGATTATTGATGCTGATTCTATTCTAATCTTAATTTTCATTCAATTTTAGAACTAATTTAATTTTAATTTTAAGCAGACAAATCCAAATGTAAAAATAAGTCATTCTAAATCAAGAGACAAAGGTTAAATGAAATAAATAAATTGTCGCGCATAAGTTAAAATTTTGAAAGCTGTGTTTCATCTCTATCTTCTACAAAAATATGTATCACTTTGTCTGGCTATTTTTCATTTCGACTTGATGGAAATTTTAAGAATGATTGTCGTATAATGTGGCAACAAATACCACAGGGATATACATAAACATAGTAGCTGTACAATGTAATGAGCCAAGCATAATCCGTTCCGTTTTCTTTGTAAAACAACATCGAGATAATGCCTTGTCGGCACATTCTCAACTTGATAGATATGTATGCCGCTGGCACGAAACGCATTCCAGCGCTACAATTATTGTTTTAGAAAGAAGACGAAACCGCGTTTATCTCAGTGCAATATAATATCCCATCTTACGATACCACTTGCCATCATATAATTTTGCTATAGACAAGTGTTTATACATTGTTGGTATTTTAAAGTTATTATAACTCTCTCACAAATCTTCTCTTTTAGACTACTATAAAATTACAAATAATAATGAATGTTATATTTTAAAATATAATGGCAATTATTGAAAAATATTCTACGATACAAAAATATATTCGAATATTATACGTATGATGCGTTATACATTTTTTGTAGTCAAGATCTGCTTTTAATTTTCTAATTTACCAATTAACTGAATAATTCGAAATTTACATTTTCCGATAATAATTTTCAGAGACGATGAGATTCTCCAAAAGAAAATTTAAAATTCCGCAAAATCAAAATATGCAAATATTAGAGAAATATACGCGTTCGAAGGGGAGCTCATGAATATCGTGATACGAGAGCGAATTAATTTGGCACCGTTAATTTGGCATCGCGGCTGGCCGAGACTTGAAAGACTTACGCGCGCCGCTTTGTAGTCGCGTTGCTTTCATAAACAATGCGCGATAGAGGGATAAGTCCTCTCGGGGGCACTTGGCCGATGGCCAATAATCAGCGCCGCGAGTCGTACGCCGGCGTTCGTTCTCTCGAGGGAACCCAAGGAACGAAAGTCGGAACGTAAACCGGGTGTGTTGTTAGCTTCGATCTAACGACATGTTTAGAGAGACCCCGGGCTCTATCCGATCGCCGCCTTCTCCTACTCTTTACCTTCCGGCTTTCACCCCGGACGCGTATATACAATCTCTCCTCTCTCTGTTTCGCACCTACAAATTGGTATTCCCACTTAGAGAGGAATTCGTGTCAGGGAACGATTAATTTTACCGGCGGCATTTTGGCCACGGTCCAACCGCCCTGCGTCAGTAACGAGAATCGGCGCGAGAAAGAGAAACGAGGAAATTTAGACGGAGAGGGATATATATATATATATGTATATATAGATAGTTCCTCTTTCGATTGAGAGAGAGAGAGGGAAAATAGAATTTATTCCTATGTTCTGTAAAACCGAGTCCTCTCGAAACGTTATACACGACACACAACTAGTACACGTATGTATGTATGTACACGTGTGGTAGTAAATGTGGTCGATGCGCAGGAAATAAAAGAGGACAACGGATGACAAAATATTGTGTGCCAGAAAAAATTAATCTGAGATAAAAATGATTTATGGCTGATAAAAGTTTTATAAATGTATAAGCTGTTTAAATCCCGTCGTGACGATATCAATTCGTGTCCATACTCGGATATAAAAAAAAAATAGAATGATCAAACAACAGTAGTAATTTATAGTAGGAGATAAATATTCGAACAAGAGTGTGTGCGCGTGACTTCTTAAAAAAGAAGCATGATATTAACATAAATTATCAAGAATGACTCGTCATACTTTTTTTACTTAATGAAATACAATACTTGAACGTATACAGATTAATATATTATAAAATCAATTATGTTTACGACAACCTGCAAAACAAAAAATTATAATTTATAAGATATACGATATATTTTACATATATAATCGTATTAAAATAATGCCAACAAAAAAGGAAAAAGGATTTAAACATTTAAAGCGATAAATAGACTTGATTCGGATCATAATCACTTCTCTATTTCACTTTGTTTCTTACGATATTATATCAAATAATTGTTAATCATCGACATATAATTTCTAATTATTATTCCAAGTTAAATTATGCAGAATTCTTCATTCGATAGATTTAAAATTGGGTCAAAGAGATTTAATTATTTCGTTCCGAGTTCATACGCATAGCGAATTAAAACATATTTGATAATGTACAATATATCTTCGCAGATTAGCCCTACTCGTGTCACAGCGCAAAAAGATGATATATATATATGCAGGGAGTTAATCGAGAGGAGAAGCGGAAGTCGCGAAATCACACGATCGCGGCGGAGCGCAGCCGGGAACTTGCTCCGGCCTTAAGTTACACCGTACCCGCATTAAGTTACAAGATTAATCGCGCGACTTCGGGGAGTTCCGCGACGAAAATAATATCCGGTGCCATTTATACCGAGTGGGATAAAGACGAGTCGTTAAGGCGAGAACGCGGCGCTTGCTCTCGCCGCTCGCCGTTCTCGTAACAATTCCACGAATGGAGATTGACGGCATTCCTGGGAGAACAATTGGTAAGCCCGAACTATTCCGTACTGTGGGCGCAGCATTCTGGCGAACCTCGATTGTAATGACGTCAATGAAGTCCACCACCGAGATCTGCCGAGGGAGAATTTACCTTGTTAACGAAGTCGAGTTAACCCGCGTACGTGAATCCTTCGATTTAAGACAGATTACAGGTGGAGAACTGCGCGTTAGAGAAAATAAAATTAAAATATTCCACGTGGATTGATATTTCGTCCAAAGAGTTTTCGTCGAGAAAATAAATAGAGGAAAATAAAAATAAATACATATTTTATTAAAATTACACGAGGCTATTGAAATTTTGCATTGCACACGTATTTAAAATATTATTTTTATCGCAAGAGATGTATCGAATGAAATTTTATTAAAATATTTTGTTAAATTTTACGATGTTACGCAATAATATTTAAGCATAAAAAATTCTCGATATATTGTGTTTCTGTTTTATTAATTATTATATAATGAAAAATTCTATATTTATTTCTCTTATTGAGATTTATTATTATTTCTCTTATTCCAGATATACATATTTTTATTGTCTTTATTATTTTTTATATTTATATGTACTAATAAAAAAACTTTCAATATTCAAATCGGAAACAAAGCTCAATGAGCTCATTATAAACTTCATCAAGTAAACTCATTCAAGTACAGTTAAATTTGCATTTAATTTTTCAACCAGCAATACTGTTTTACGCATAAATAGAATTTTAAAAGAACATTAATCTGAAGAATTAATCAAATGTGTCGGAGCAGATGCGTTAATAAAGAAACAAAGGTTCTCCTCTCGGCGAAACTAGTTTATTCTCTTTGTTTTGTAAGAGAACAAGCTTCGCATTAAAACATGTAGCTCGACAGCCAAGCAGAGAGAAGGAGTCATCGTTTATGCTAACGATGCTGCAGCTATACTTCCACTAAAGTGGGAACCACGTAATGAGTTTACTTAAACGAGCTGAAGATTAAGATCTTAACTGCGTTTTGTATTAAATTTATCGCTAATACCCCTATTAAAATACCCACCCAGATGCGCTCTGTCTCCATCTAACGCAAAAACTTATCTCCACGATAGTACCACTGCAACCTTAGACCGACCGATTTAATCGAGAAATTATAAAGACAAGAGTAAGAACCAAAAATAGACATCGGTGTGAAATAAAAAGAAAAATATCATTAAAAGCTTTATTCTAAACGTCATTTAATTTCACGGTATATATACACGTCGAGTTTCTAGTTTATAATTATAAGATTTAAAGATTAACTATATTTGCATTTTTTATCTTCCACTTGAAAATCGCAGAGAGAAACTACAAAATTATCATATTTCAGTTATATAAAATAACAAGATATTCATGTCAAATATAACTGAAATATATCGCATCTACTCTAAAAAAAAATGCATTATCAGTTACGAATTCATAAACGCAGCATAGCTCGTCAATTCTCTCAAATTTTAGTTTTAACATTTTTCTCGCTCTTTTTCATTTCGCGTAATATAGTCGGGGACTTAATTCTACAAATTATGTCTCGCAAAGATGATTAATGGTGCTCCCGAGCAATGGCAAATAGTAACTGGTAATAGCGCTGGTTCTCAACGAAGCATATGGGGTACGCTCCATGCTCCTCGAGTCCAGAACGCATAAATCCGGATTGCACCGAGCACGTCCAATTGAATTCTAATTACGCCGTGTTAATATTTCATTACACTTGTCCGCCGTGACTGGCGAGGCGAGGCGCGCAACGCAGAGAGCAGCGTTGAATAATTGAACGATCATGGAAAGCGGAATGACGAAAGCCTGTTTCCTTTCTAGGCGAGAGCGCAACATTGTTGCGACCGTTCTCTCCGAGAGAGCAACGTTGTCTTCACCGCTATCGCCGTAGTGCTATGCTATTCTTCGGCGCTGAAGTATCATTCACACGAGAACATCGACATCGTAGTTGCATCGCGA